CCTGCGGACTGGCAGCGGCAGTGGCAGCAAGGCCCTGTTGCGCTCCGGCTCGCCCGCCGCCTCCACATGCTGTGTCAGACCGCCTGGGTGGGGGAGCCCTGGTGGCTCGCGCCGCGTCATATCTTCGCGGGAGGAGCGCCGCCCTTCCTGGACAGGGACGTCTGCTCCTCCCGCAAATCCCTCGCGTTCTTCCTGGCGCCACCAATCCGGAGACCTGGTGGAGCAACTCAAGGCACGCCATGCTCGGGGAACGGCCTCCGCCCACGGAGGCCTGGACCTCATCGAGAGGTAACTTGGTGTTGGTATGCTGCTGCTCCTGCCGGCGCACATCCGCACTGCTCGATCAGCTGGAGCTTCCGATAGGCTACCCCCGCGCCCGCCAAGTTGCACACGTCCCCTTGGTCTCTCGTGCCAAATGTCTCGGTGATCTTGCTCGGGATCTCGTGCTCCCACGCGCCGTAGTCCGTGTCCTGCACCTGGCGGCGAGTCTTCCACATCTCCGAGGGTTTTCGAGCCCACCGTCCTTCAACTGGCAGGCCGCGCGCCACTTTGACGAGCGGGGCGGCTTCGCACCGAAGTCCGCGACCTGCTCCTCCTGGCAGTCCGCGACCAACGACGACCGCGGCCGCTCCCTACCGACGGCTGAACGGACCACCGCCAGGGCGCAGGCGTCGCTCCCGCGGAACTCCTTCGGGCGCGCCACCTCGCTATCGGCGACGAGCGCCACGAGAACAGCGGCGCGCCCGCGGCCCTGGGGTTTACGCCAGCCGCGGGGCCAGGCCCGCCCGGGCCTAGCGCCAGCACGGCCATCATCGCCGGGAAGGGGACGAACGCGTCAGCCGGCATTGGCGCCCCCGCCCCGTCAGCGGCGCCCAGAGCCTCCCAGCCTCCACTCGGGCCGCGCCGCGCATGGCCGCCATCTCGAACCCGGAGAGGTCGTCGCGAAAGCGGTAGACCTGGGCCCGAAGGACGCCGGGCGGCGGCGGCCAGCGCACGGCCCCGAACGCCACCTGCACGATGTCGACCCCCAGCGCGTTGGGCCAGTAGTCCTCCTCGTATACGTCGAAGTCTGGCGTGCCAATCAGGAAGACGCCCATGTCGCCGAGCACGTCGGCAGCCGACCACCCGGCGCTGGTGGAACACCAGAGGCCCCGCCGCTGGGTACAGCACGAAGGCCTACTCCTGGCTCTGCTGCGGCTGGAGCGCCACCACTGCGACGCGGGGATCTCGGTGAACTCGGGGCAGGGAGGCGCCGCGTGGCACGGCGGTACCTCAGGACAGCGACTGGCCCAGAAGAGCGAGAGCCCCGCCCAGCGCAGCGCCTCCTGCGTGAGGAAGTCCGCCACCCCTGCTTGCATCCACGGCTGGAGGTCTGCCGAGGGTAGCCACACTAGCACAAGCTCTCGAGCTTACAAGGCTACAGAGTGCGGTCACTTCCTGATGCTACAATGCATTCCTCAGTTCACAGTCGGATACCTTGTATACATTTATATCTACATATACACATCTATGTTACCAGATAGACTGCACCAGGCGTACTGCATCACATCGTGTGCTAGAACACGGTGTTTGGGGCCCACGCTGGCCAGCACATGTGTATAAATATGAACACAAATGCGTACATACATATAGGTACATTTATATCCATTCATGAATATATGTATATATATATATACATATATATATATACACACGAAGTCTCCAAGCAACGCCTGCACTTCGAAGCCCTTACCTGGCTTGCTCGATGGATTGGACAGGTCCGCCCAGGATGTTCCTCGTCCCCGCACGTGGGCGCTCGTGGGCCCCCCATGCCTTGGATGGGTCCGCCGAGGTCGCGCCTGGTGGCCGCCCGCCCGTGGGCGCTCGTGGGCGCCCCGTGCCCCGGGTGGGCAACAAATCTTATGCAGCGTGGCGCACACACCGCAAGCTTACACCGCATAATTTACACCACTGGTATCACACCACATAGGTCACACCACCTAACTTCCACAACAAAGCTCGAAACACACAGCTTAACACAACATCCGCAAACGTGCCGCTGGGCACGGAGTAGGCGTGTCCTCAGGTCCTTTGCCCAATCCCCTGAGACTCAGTCCTCGATCCGAAGGAGTCTTTAAGGGGCCATGGCCCCAACTTGCCAAATCTCTCGGGGCTTGTCGATGTTCCCCCGGGAGCCGGCGCGTCTTGTCGCATGATTTTCTGGGCCCAAGAGGGCCCCGAGACGGAACCGGGCTCCAAGAGGCCCCAGAACAGCCCCTTCAGACGCCCCCGAGAGGCCTCCCGCGACATCCCAGTCCTAGAGGCCTGCGGCCCACAACCCAGGCACGGTGGCGGGATGGGCCGAAGGCCACGCCGCCCCCTGCTTGCAGGGGTGCACGGCGTGCTGGATGTTTCAGGTTTTGGTTTTGGTTCTTTTTCTAAAAGAACTCCCCAGTGGGCTTCGGCCCGTCCCGCCGGCCACCCGGAAAGGATGCCCAGGAGCTCAATTCCCCAATTTCCTGCCCCAACTTGGCCCAAGATGGCCTCCAAGACGGCCAAGATGGCCCAAGATGGCCTCCAAGATGCCTCCCAGACGGCCAAGATGGCCTCCAAGACGGGTAAGATGGCTCCAAGATGCCTCCAAGACGGCCCAAGATGCCCTCCAAGACGGCCAAGATGGCCCCAAGATGCCTCCAAGATGGCCCAAGAGGCCTCCAAGACGTTCTCCAGGAGAGCCCGAAGAGGCCAAAATCATTGGTTTTCCTTAGGTTTTTGAAGGTTTTTTGCGTTTTCTTCTTTTCGGCCTTCCGACGGCCCAAGAGGCCCCCAAGATCGCCCAAGAGGCCTCCAAGAAGGCCCTATGACGGCCCAAGGGCCCCCCAAGACGGCCCCAAGAGCGCCCCAAGACGGCCCAAGAGGCCTCCAAGACGCCCAACATGGCCTCCAAGACGGCCCTGAAGCGCCCCAAGAGGGCCCCAAGACGGCCCAGAGAGGCCCCCAAGACGGCTCCAGACGGCGTCAGACGGACCAGGAACGCCCTAAGACGGCCAAAGAGACCCCCAGGAAGCCCCCAAAGGCCCCCAAGAGGCCCAAGGAGGCCCCCAAGATGCCTCCAAGAGGCCTCGAAGAGGCCCCCAAGAAGCCCCCAACAGACCCCAAGGGTGCCCCAAGAGACTCCTAACAACCCTCATCCTCCTACTCTATTTCTTCCTCTTCCTCTTCCTGTTCATAATCATTCTCTCCCATGTGTTCCCCGAAAGCTTTCCAAACCGACTCGGGGAACTCATGGTCCGATAGCTTGGCCAAGCTCTAGTCCAACTTTCGGCCACATCGGCGTTTCCAAAAAGGCAGGGGGCGGCGGTGATTCGCCGTAGGCGTCTTCGATAGCTTGCACCAACTACCTCATGCCACATAACCTGCATAACAAAGCTAACAGCGAACCCCACATAGCTGCCACCTCCAGTGCCAGAGCTCACTGTTTGGGGCCCACGCTGGCAAACACGCACACTCACACACTCTCACACACACACACACACTCACGCACACACAGTTTGTGAGCGTCGCGGCCCGGACCAGGAAAACAAGACGCCCGAAAGTCTGGCGGGCGTGCATGCGCTGGCAGACAAGAGATACACAGACCTCGCACGATGAGCGGCGGCAGCAGCCGGCCGAACTGGACGACAAGGGGCCAGCAAGGCAAGGGCAAGATGGGCCAAGCTAAACGGAGAGATTAGCGAGGAGCGAGAAGCGACAGCAAACAGCCGAGGGAGACAGACGGACGGAAGCGAGGGACAACGGCCCGACCGACGGAGGAGGGGAACCCGATGGAAGAGAGGAGGGACCACACACCACAAGGGCAAGGAAAGACACGAAGAAGGGAAGAGCCCGCGGAGGACGGATGCAATGTGGGAGGCAAGGAACACAACACTAAAGCAGGTGGATGGAAGGGGGGGGGCATGCCCAGGCCCAGCTCTTCGTGTCCAGGATTATCCACGCAGCACACGGCGTTTGTGTGGCGCCAGCTTCAACCGTGGCTACCACTGCGCCCACGAATCCTGCCGTCCCTCCCTATCAGCGGGATCCCGTCCCACGCGACCCGCGCGACAGCTCTTCAAGGCGCGCCTGACACACACACAGACACAGACACAGACACAGACACCCACACACAGGTACATCTGTGCATAATGTATATAGTACTTAAGTTTATGTATCTAGACACATACGTACACCCCTTCTTCGTATTCTACATGTCGACGACCCCCGCACCCAGATGCCCCCCGCATACTTCCGAGATCATGTCAAGCTTCCAACGCCTCCACGTACTTCTCGGAGAGCCGACGCAGGCCCCACGAGGCCCTGAGAAGGCCCGAAGAGAACCCGAAGAGACCCCCAAGACTCAAGACGGCCAGGAGGAGACAACGACGGACCAGGATGGCCCCAGGACGGCCCAACATGCCCCCAAAACACCTCCAGACGAACCCCCGACAGGGCCTCCCGAGGCCAAAATCAATATCCCCAAACATGCTTCGACATGTTTCCGCGCTGCCACCTTCCCCAACCCCGCAAGAGGCCTCCAGGCGCCGGAAACGACGAGACAATCTCGATCCCATAATATGTTTCCCTCGATGCGTGCGTCGCTCGTGAGGGCATGCGTATGGACACGCTCGTCGCTCGAGATCCTCCTATGGCACCCTGGCGCGGAGAGCAAGAAGACTCAATCTGACCCCGGCAGGAGAGCACAGAATACCAGTGTGACGCTGACTGGACGACCCCATCAGCGTGTTGTTGTAGACCAATTTTTTACACACTGAACGACTGAATAACAATCCTAAAAAATGGCTGTACCAATCTGAATAAACGGAATATGCATCTGACCCCAGCCGGACGACACCCTCGGCGTCTTCACAGTGCTGAAGGAGTGCCAAGCTTTTGCACACGAAGCGAAGGAGCAACACGCTCAATTCGAGAGACGACACGCGTGTCACTGATACGCTTCGCCCCTCCCGACCAGTGCGCGCGGCCTCTCGCAGAAGAGGGCCGCCAGCCGCCCGGCGCCCTCCCGCCCCTCGGAGGCCGCGCTGCCGAACGCCTCGAAAACCACCTCCTCGTCGCGCCTTTGGCCGGCGGCCCCATCGAGCAGGTCGACCTCGGCGCCCAGCGCCCCCCGGCGGCCTTCGTCGTTCGGCGGCCTTTGGCGGCCCCCGGCGGCCCTCAGCGGCCCTCGAGTGCCTGGCCGCGGAGATCGGCGGCGTCGTCGTCCAGAGACCCTCCGGGGACCGCCGGGGGCCTCCAGGAAGCGAGGTCCTGTCGCCTTCGCCGTCACCGTCGTCAACGTCAGTGTCGTCGTCGCAGGGGGGGTGAGGGAAACGGATGAATGAGCCAGGTTCTGAAGGTCTGCGCCCAGATTGCTGGGGGCAACAGGACTGTGTGACCCCAGACGAGAGCTGGGGAGGGAGGAAGGGACGGGGGAGGAAGGGAGAAGGGAGAAGAGAGCAAGGGAGCGGGAGAGGTGGAGAGGGAGAAGAGGGGCGGGGATGAGGAGAGTGAGGAGACAGAGGAGGCAGAAGTGAGGACAGTGGAAGAACGGGGGGAGAGGACAGAGGGAAGGGGAGAAAGAGGAGGCGAAAGAGGACGGGCGAGGAGGAAGAGACGGCAGGATAGCTAATGAGGGGAAGGAAGGTCGACCTCGCAGGAGGGGGACGAGGGAGGCAAAGGCAAAATGCAAGGCAAGGGCGGTCGCCTCCTCCTGCTCCTCCGACGACTGATCGAATATCCTCCTACTGCTATGGCCACTGCTACTGCTTCTACTGCTGCCCCCTAGCTTCGAGCGCCCTATGCGCACTGAGGACTGAGAGACACGATGAAGAGAGAGAGAGAGAGGAAGAGAAGGGAGAGGAGCAGGCTGAATTGCAGCAGCTGGCGAAAAAGGAGGAGCAGGTGGTCGGCCGAGGCACATTTCACCCTACCCCTCCTGCGCCCGAGAGAGGGCACAACACCTCACTACGGGAAAGATGCCCAGGCAGCGGCTGGGGGCGTGGCCAGCGCCGGCAGTCGGCAGCTCGGACGGCAGGCGCGGCAAGGGCCCTCCTTCTCGGGGCCCCTGGCGGGCGTGGGGGGCGGCCAGGGGCGCTGGCGGCGAGAGGTCGCGCCGTCTCTTGAAGTGTGTGTTCGAGCGGCGCTCTCTTGGGTGAGGAGATGGCTTCGAAGCTCTGGTGTTTACCGCATTGTTGTTATCGATGTCTGCTTGCTTGTTTTATACATATGAGAGAACGTGTTGACCCCGTCTGGGGCCACTGGATGCCTTCAGAGGAGGCCTTCGGGTGGACATGACAACAATGAGGCCCTCGTTCAGATTTGCAATGCTGAGGCTGCTGCTTCCAAGGCTGTCGCGCTCTCAGAATAATCTTGATAATGGTATGAGTTGTTGAGTTGTTGTCCTTCCTGAATCTGGCAACGTGTGGGCCGGCTGTTGGCGCCGCGAGGCGCGAGCACCGCCGCGCCTGTGCAGCCGCGCCTGCGCCATCGCGCCCTGCTCGCGCATTTTGCTTCCCGTGCACAAGCGCGCTTGGTCTGCAGCTAATCGTGGCGATGTCTTCACTCTGTCAAAACCAAAATGGCCATGCAAGATGGGCTCCGTGATTGAAAATGTAGTCCGCCAGTCGAGGTGGGTCCTTCGACCTCTCCCAGGGCGTGCTCTGACCAGGAGTCCGAAGCGAATCGGGCCGCGGCGACGAGGAGCCACCAAGGAGGCCCCAAAGGAACAAGAGCGAGGGCAAGGCATCAGCAATCGACACTGCCCCCCCCTCCGAAATACAACGAAAACAAAGTCCCCGAAGGCCAATTCATCCAGAGTCGCTTTCTCACGGTCCCAGGGTCCAGGGAGGGCTCTGGGGGGCCGAAAACACAGAACAACCTCAGGACCCGTTTCCTTCAGGACCTGCTTGCTTCCTGGCGAACTTCTCCCCGCGCGCCCCCAGGGCCGGGTGTTGCTAGAAGCGGTCTGGCCCGAGGTGTTCTGTGCTCCGCGCGCCATTTTGGAGCCCGGGGCCCGCTGGGCTTCGTGAGGTGTGCTCTGGAGGCCATGGGAGCCCCTTCGGAAATCCTGGGCGGCACGTGGGCCAAGACCACTCCTGGCAACACATATGCACGCATACGCAGACACACATACACACACACACACACACGCACACACACAAACACACACACACACGAAGACAGACACACGGACATACAAGCACACAGACGCACATATACCATATACACAAACACACACAAACTCCTTGTCAATCGCAACCTCGCGCGCAGCGCCGAGAAATTCCCCAAACGGAAAAGCCCACGCGAGGGGCTGGCTCCTCAGAGTGGCAGGGGCCCCATCAGATCGACCATGTCACGCGCATGCGCGGGCATGTTCAGTATACATATATATATATATGTACACACACGTAGATATGTGTATATCTAGATGTCTATACATATATATATATATACACATATCACACGAACGCATACGACCCCCTACACACAAACAAACACAAACGAGCACACGCACACTAACACGCACACACACACATACCCGCACACACGCACGCACGCACTCACACACACACACACGCACGCACACACATACACATGCATTGTCACATACACGAACACATATATTAATGTATGCATGCATGCATGCATACATGTATGTATGTATGGATGGATGCATGCATGTCTGTATGTATGGAGGTGTGTAAGGATGCGTGTATGCATGACTGCATGCATGCATGCATGTATGTATGCATGCATGTATGTGCATATGTGTATTCATGTATTGGTATTTGGAAATGCCCACATATATGTATGCGTCGCGGCCATGCGCGCGGCGACAAGGCGGAAAAGGGCTCCAAGCAGGTAGCTCGCACGGGGACTAGAAGTGCCCGAGCTCTCAAGGACCGCTCTGGGTGCAAACACACACACACACTTGTTTACGTCGGCGGCTAAGCAGGGTGACTGCGCTGGCGGATGGGGCAAATGTAGGCATACAATTGCTGATTAAGCCGCGGTGCACGGGAGGAGGGAGGGGAAACCCCGGCGCGGGCGGGAGGGAGACGGAGGCCAGGCCCGCTCAGAGCGGGGCCAACAAACACACACACACACACACACTCTTTGGCGGTGCGGTCGCAGCATCGCGCGCGGCGACGAGGCATAGAAAATCGAACCGAGTTGGGAAAAGCGCGGCGGGCCCCTCAGCAGAACGGATCACACGCACACACACACTCACACACGCGAGCCAAAACACACACACACACACGAACATACACACCCACACGAACACACACACACACACACGAACACACCCACACACACGAACACACACACAAGCACACATACACGAATACACACGAACACACAAACACGAGCACACACACACGAGCACACACACGAAAACACACACACACGAACACACACACACACACACGAGCACACACACACACACACACGCACAAAAACACACATACACGAACAGACACACACACACACACACACGAACACACCCACACAAGCACACACAAACATCTACACACACACCCCCCCCCCCCACCCACCCACCCACCCACACACACGAACACGAACACGAACACGAACACGAACACGAACACGAACACACACAAACACACACACACACACACACACACACCCTGAGGCGGCGCTGGGCCGCGCCTGCCCAGCAGCCGGCCCCACTCCCGCTCGCGCTCCGCGCCCGAGAGGGGGGGCCCGGCGAGGAGCCGGCCGCGCAGCTCCGGCTCGCCTGGCGCACGGCCAACGGGAAGGGGGGAGGACCCTAAGATCCTAGCGATGCAGTTTTGTCACTGCAAGCCTTTTCGTCCAGATTCGGGACCTGAACCCGAACACATCGATTCGGCTTCAAAAGTGACGAGGAAAAATTTGATCCATGGCTCCAGGGGTGAGGACAGCGGGAGGCTCCCTCGCTCGCTCGCGGGGAGGGGGTGAGGCGAAAAGCGCCCCAAACAACTTCGATCCTCGATCCTCGACGCTGGAAGATGGAGAAGGCGGGAGTATGGGAGCCCTCGCTCGCTCGCTCGCGGGGGGGGGTATCAGTCAGCATCGCATCTGGACGTCGGGACAACATGAAAATGCTCGCCTGATCGGGCCGCACCGGCACGGAACCCACATCGGACACAATCGACCACTCCAGGATGCACACAACAACGCCGTGCAAACATCGGGCCGCGTCGGGTTGTCGGAACTTTTCTCTCTCTCCGTCTGTCTGTCTGCCTCTCTCTCTCTCTCGCTCCTTTTGTTGTTTATATTTGTTGTGTCTCTCTATATCTATGTGTATTATATATAAACATGTGCAGCTACATGTTCACACATATGTGCATATACAAGCACACATACATACATACATACATACATACATACATACATACATACATACATACATTCATACATACATACATACATACGTACATACATACATACATCCATACATGCATACATCCATACATCCATACATCCATACATCCATACATCCATACATCCAGCCGTCCATCCATCTATCCATCCATACATACATACCTAATATCATATTACGGTTGTTGTGCATAAACATATATAGCACCAATATGGGTCCCTGACGCCAGGTAGGATGGAACAGAACCGTCAGGACCCAGGCGAGACTCCGATGGCCCCCTTGTTATAGTCCAGGGAAAAGCACCACGTTTCAGCATCGCCCCCGTGGGCGAGGTCCTCCTTATACTGGTCGCCGTCGGGAATGTAGCCGGTCAGCGCACCGCCAGGCTGCCCGCGTGGCAAGTACACACATATCCTCTCGTGGCAGAGCGGCGCACCAACTACCCCGAAACGCACAAGGTAACTAGCAATCGTCCTCCTCGAGGCCAGCATGCACCAGCCCGTTCGCAGCAGGCGCCGCCATGATGGCGCCCGCCTAGCACGCGCCAGCCTCACCCGCTCCTGCGCCGTCGCCCAGTGCTCGGCCGCCTCTTCCAGCGTCGCGACAGCCTCGGCCACCCCGACCCCTTCAGCGCCAGCTGCGGCGCCCGAGCAGGGGTGACCGCGGCGGCCGCCAGCAGGCCAGCGCGTAGGCCAGCAGGACGCCGAGCCCCACTAGCAGCAGCCCCACGACCAGGCCAACGGAGATGCTGTCCTCGCACTGGCACAGGTCGGACAGGTCGGACAGGTCACCGCGCACGAGCACGGAGGACAATTGCAGAAGCAGCAGGGGCACTCCTGCCCCGCAACGCGCAGCGCCACCCCAATGCCAAGCCCCCGGGCCCGCCTGGGTGAGAGGAACGCTTCCATAAAAAGGCGTCTGCTTTCGCTTGAGCCGAACGGTTTCGGTTCGACGTCCACCCCCCCCTCTTGCCCATACTTTGGAATGTGGGGACTTGAAAATGTTTATACATTCATACATATATATAAATATATACAGATATGTATATACATATGTATCGAGTCGGATCGTGTCGGGTAAACTCGACATCGAATCGGACCGATCGAGCCAAAATGGGCCCTGGGGGGAGGGGGAGGAGGGAGGACGAGGCACTTCTTCCCTTCCATCGACTCGTGGGGTGGGCTGCATCCTCAGCTCAAACTCTGCACCACCCGCCCTACGGGGAAGGAGGCCCCTGCCGGGCGCACGCTAAGATGAAATACGGATCCGTCGATCTGGCGCATGGGCACCAGGTCCACGGATCGAGGAAGGTACCCCCCAAGACATGAAGCCAATGCCGTCTGATTTGGCGACGGAGCGCGCCGATATTGGATGGAAGCGGGCCCCTTCGCTAAACCAAACGCCGTAATCCCTGTCTGCGCTTCCTCGATTCGCTTCCCAGGGCATCCAGCGTCCTGGCAAAATCAAACGAAGGTTGTGTTCACAGGTTTGGGCTATGTCTTTCATCGCTGTCGGGCGCCTCTCTCCTCGGAGAGAAGTGTTGTGCTTCTTCCACTGAAGCGCCGAAAACGTGCCAGCTGACCTCCTCGCTGGGGCGGACGGAGGAAGGGAGGGAGGGAGGAGGGAGAAAGGAGGGAGGAGGGAGCAGTAAGGATAAGGAGGGGAAGGAGGAGCGAGGAGGATGGGGGGAGTGTGAAGGTGGAGGAGGGGGATGGATGAGGGGGAAGGGGGATGAAGGAGGGGGTAGGAAGGAGGGAGACTGGGAGGAGGGGGGAGGGAGGAGGAGAGAGGGTGAACTCAGAAGGCAGGAGGCACAATGTAGGAGGCTCCTCCTCCACCTCCTCCTCCTCCTCCTCCTCCTCGCTCGCTGCGACACTGGAACCCAAAAGCGCGGCCTGTTCCAGGGTGGGCAATGCACAGCTTATGGAGAAGGTGCTCCCGCCCGCCGCAGTCACCGACAAACGAGACGAGAACGTGGCGATCGCCTGAATGGCTGGTCACTCAAGCGGGCGCGTCTTGCAGTGAGCGTGTAGGGACTCATGAGGAGGAGACTCGGGACGGGAGGGTGTAGTGTAGCATCGCTGATGCATCTTGGGCTTACTCTTGCCCTCCTCCTTCTCCTTCTCCCCCTCCCCCTCCTGAAGGTCCGAGGAGGTTCGAGGGTCAAGCTTCAAGGATAGAGGATCGGAGTTGCTGTGAACGTTGATCTGCTCCTTTTGGGCCTCCCAGGGTGCCTCTCGTCGCCACGACTGGGTCCGCCTCGAAATTCTGGCCAGATCGCTCCCCACGATTTGTCTCGGGGTTCGAGGGGGATCGAGGATCGAGGATAGAACTTCGAGGATACATTGTTTAGCTCCTCCCTCCGCGGAACTCATCGTAGATACGACCGGATGCGCCTCGAAATTCTGGTCAAGATGTACCCCTGGACAGGTCTGGTGGTTGACTGTTGACCCTGCAATTCCTGCTGGCCCCTGGGAGCCCTCGCTCAGCACCCGAACTGTCAACAGAACGAAGCCATGGGGGTAAGAAAGCTGGACCCGTGGAAGGGGTTGAGGCCTCTGGATGGTCCGCGATGTGAAAGAAAAAACACGTCGTCGGGGGCCAGAGGTTCAACGATCCCGGACCTCCTCCGACGTCGCGATATATTCGATGCGCTGCCTCCAGGACTCTCGACCCCTTCCAGGAGACGCGGTTTTCATCCCGAGTCGTTTCGTTGACGGTCCTGGGGCCCTCGATCGGAGAACGGGAAGCAACTTACGGGGGGGGCGAACGAGCGGCGCAGAAAAGCGGAGGGCCACGGCGATCACGATGATGTTGCACAGGATGTTCTCTGCGACGGCTACGAACGCCGCGACGACGCCACCAATGATGGTTTTACAAAGGCGCGCGGGGTGGTCCCTTGCGCGCCCCCCTGATTTACAAGGAGGGCGTGAAAAAAGAGAACCCCGTCCGAGCCTACAAGCCGTGCCGCCGCTCACCTTTGGCGAACTGGGGGAGGGCATCATATAATACGCGTACAAAGTAGGCAAATTACGACGGGCAGGAGGCGATCTACTCGGGAATACTTCTTGCTGCATTGTTCAAGCTTCCCAGCATGCGGGCAACCTCCGTGCGCCCTATCTCGCCGAGAGAAATGTTGATATCCATTTCCAGACCGCGGCCCGAGCTGCGCCTTGCTCCCAGAGTGATCTCTTCCAGCTGGACTCTGTCATAAATGTCCTCGAAGACGACTGCCTCCACAAGGGGAACTGCTAACTTAGTGTTCGACACGAACTGCTGCTTCGTCATCTTCTTCTTGACCTGTGCTGTGTGCACGTCCGCGTTGAGCATCACGATTGCAAACAATGTAAGGTATGCCGAGTCCTCGTCGGGGAAAGAGCCTGGATTAGCTTCGCAATACGCCTTCGCAAATGCCTCGACAATGCGATCGATCTGTTGCGACTCGCGAGGAAGGCATAAATGCTGTGACATCAGCCGCAAAGCGTGGTCTAAAGTAACACCCTGCAACTCCAAACAATTGAAAAACTGTTGCGAACACGCTTTGACAAAGCCATCCGTGGTGTCCTTACTGCCCAAGAACTCGCCAATAGCGACTGGACTGAGCCCAGGAAGTGACGTCAGAACCCGGACTACCACCGCTGGATCGAGAACTGGCGATGATGATGGCAAGAGCTCCAAATGTTCTGCGATGACTCTGAGTTCGGCTATCCGTTGTTTTGCTGACGTGTCTGGTGAATTGAACGTAAATCCGCCACTGGGCCTTGTGCCCGTTGGGGCGTGTTAGAATGCTCCTGTGCCGTTCGGCAGGTTTTCTGAAGTTTTCTGGGGCCGAGCCCCCCTGGTCGGCGCGCGTGCCTCTGAGACCGCCCCCCCTGAATTGGCTCTCCAGCGCTCGTTTCGGCCTGCGGAAGGCCAAGATGGCCTCAAAGACTGCTTCCAAGTAAGTCAAGATGACCCCAAGACTGCCCAGGATGGCCCAAGACGGCTCAAGAGGCTCCCAAGACGCCCCCGAGACAGCTCAAGAGGCCACCAAGACGGCCCAGAGGGTTCCCTCGTGGAGAGCTCGAGGAGGCCAAAACCATTGGTTGTCGTGAAGTTTGTGATTGACTTTGAACCTCTCGCCTGTTTGGGTTTCCGACCGCCTAAATCGGCTCAACAGGCCTCTAAGAGGCCTCCAAGATAGCTCCAAGACAGCCCAAGAGGCCCCCAAGAAGGCTCCAAATCGACCAAAGAGGACCCACAGATCACCCGAGGGGCTCCAAAGAGGGCCTCCAGACGGTCCTCAAATGTTCCAAGAGGGCACCACGACGGACCAGAGAGGCCCCCAGACGGCCTCCGAAGGCGTCAGACGGGCCAAGGGTCCCCTTAGACGGCCCAAGAAGCCCCATGACGCTCCCAGTGGGCAATAGGAGGCCCCAAGAAGCGCTCAAAAGGCCCACGGGAGGCTCCCAGGTGGCTCCCAGGAGGACCCAAGAGGGCCCCAAGAAGACTTCTCCTCCTCGCCCGCATTTTATCCCTCTCCTCTTCCTCCTCCTCCTCCTCCTCCTCCTCCTCCTCCTCCTCCTCCTCCTCCTCCTCCTCTTCCCTACCGCGCGGACGAAGACGGTGTGAGATCACGATCCTCCCCACTTCAGTTCAGACCACTCACTGAACTGCCACGGGGTGTGAACTCGATCTCCTGTCTACCGCGTGGACGAAGACGAGGTGGTCGAGTTCACGATCCATCCTTATCAGACTACTCGTCGGAATTGCGATGTTACTGCACTCAGCCTCCTTGATGCTGCGTTGTTGCACAGACGCGGTGGCGGGGTTTGCCGCTGGCAGCTGGATACAGCGTCAGAAATCATAAAGTGCCTGCGCAGGCTCGGCGATGAATCGACAAGTGTTGAAAACTCTTCCAAATTGAGGACCCCATCCCCGTCCAGGTCAGCATTGTCAAAAATCGCGTCTACAACAGCATCTGGCGATGCCGGATCATGCAATTCCACCATCGCGGTACGGCTTCGCATGACGGACACCTGGCTCTTCAATGCATCCTTGAGTTCTCTCTTTGACAAGGAGTTGTCATTGTCCGCGTCCAGGGCGTGGAATATGAACTCGATCTTCTGCTGGCGGCCCCCGCGCAGCAGCACCGAAAGCCCCAGGACGAACTCGCGAAAGTCGATCGTCCCGTCGTGGTTCCGATCCAGCGCAGTCAGAATCGACAGCACCAACGCCTTGTCCTCACCCGCCATGGTGTCCGACACGTCGCTGAAGCCCGCCGCCGCGCTGTGAGGCGGCTGGTGTGTGCACTGGACGCTCTGATCTTGTCCCCCGAATCGCTAGCCGGTGATCCCTATGCGGAGCGGCAGCTCGCACCACCCGAGGGCACATCGAGGCCTCAAAGCATTCGTTGTCTTTGTGTTGCCCCAGGTCCTTCTGCTGATGACCCTCCGGAGGCAGAGACGGAGCCAACGTCGGGATCGCGAGTGCGGTATTCTGGCAACCGCACCCCAGCCCCCCTCCCCCGCGGCCATCCACCCCCAGCACCCCTCGCCCCCTGTCAGTCTCCCCGCACATGGCGGTGGCGGAAATGCACGGCAGCGCATCTAGATACAACATTACCTCGTCTTTGGAGGCAGTCCCGCCAGGATGATCTGCTAGCCACATGCGCATGAGATTTCTGAGTTCCCGAAGGTCAAAATGGCAATCGTTATGATGAGCCAATACTTGAAGCTCTTCTTCGTTCGATACCCATTTGCGAGAACAATTACACGCGCCCATTATTTGAAAAAGTGCCAAACCAAATCAATCAAGACAGACCAGTTGGCGTTCGACGAAAGAAATCGTGGCTTCTGGAACGCGCCGCAATCAGCACATTGCACATGCCATATCCCGACAAGCGGAATACAATCGAGCCTGAACAGCTGTTGATGGTGATGCTGAGTGGGAGTGTGTTCAGGTCCTTTCCCGAATCCTCCAAGCCTCAATCCTCACTCCCGAGGAGCCCAAATTTGTCCCAGGAGGCCCCCAAGAGGCCCCGAAGAGATTCCCAAGAGGCCCGAAAACTGCCCCCAAAAGGCCCCCGTGAAAACTCCGAACAGACCCCAAAAAACATCACTGAGAACTCTGACCCGCAACCCACGCACCGTGGCGGGATGGGCCGAAGGCCACTAGATCCGCCGCCCCCTTTTGCTTCAGCAAAGGGGTGCCTGGCGTGCCAAACCCTATCGGTTTTGGTTTTGGTTCTTTTTCCAAAAGAACTCTCCCAGTGGGTTTCGGCCCGTCCCGCCGGGGTCCTGGGATTTTTCCCACGGACCTCACTTCCCCAATTTTCTGCTCAAGACGGCTCCAAGATGGCCTCCAAGATGGCCAAGATGGCCCAAGATGGCCTCCAAGATGGTCCAAGATGGCCTCCAAGTCCGCCCAAGATGGTCCAAGACGGCCTCCAAGACGGCCCAAGAGAGTCCAAGAGGGCCCCAGACAGGCCAAGAGGCCCCCCAGAGGCCTCCCAGACGGCCCAAGAGGCCTCCAAGAGGTCCTCCAGAGGCCAAAATCATATAGATTCCTTCGGTTGTTGAAGCATTTTAGAATTTGCTTCTTGTCGGCATTCCGACGGCTCAAGACAGCCCAAGAGGCCCCCAAGATCAACCAAGAGGCCCCCAAGAGGGCCCCATGACGGCCCAAGTGGCCTCCAAGATGGCCCCAAGAGGGCCCCAAGACGGCCCAAGAGGCCTCCAACACGCCCAAGATGGCCTCCAAGACGCCCAAGATGGCCTCCAAGACGGCCCCGAACCGCCCCAAGAGGGTCCCCCGTTGGCCCAGAAAGGCCCCCAAGACGGCCCCCGACGGCGTCAGACGTGCCAGGAACCCACCAAGATGGCCGAAGTTGGCTCCAGAAGATGCCAAAAACATTGTTTATCTTCAGGTCTTTGACGGATTTTGACATTTCCTTATTTTCGGCCTTCCGACGGCCCGAGACGGCCCAAGAGCTCCCAAAGATCGCCGAAAGATCGCCCAAGAGGCGTCCAAGACGGCCACGATGACCTTCAAGACGCCCACGTGTTCCCCGAGTGCTTTCCAAACCGATTCGGGGAACACTCCAAGATGGCCTCCAAGATGGCCAAGATGGCCCAAGATGGCCTCCAACATGGTCCAAGATGGCCTCCAAGACGGCCCACGATGGTCCAAGACGGCCTCCAAGACGGCCCAAGAGAGTCCAAGACGGCCCAAGAGGCCCCCCAGATGCCTCCCAGACGGCCCAAGAGGCCTCCAAGAGGTCCTCCAGGAGGGAGCGAAGAGGCCAAAATCACGTATATTCCTTCGATTTTGAAGGATGTTGGCATTTGCTTCTTCTCGGCATTCCGGCGGCTCAAGACGGCCCTAGAGGCCCCAAAGATCGCCCAAGAGGCCCCCAAGAGGGCCCCATGACGGCCCCAAGTGGCCTCCAAGATGACCCCAAGAGGGCTCCAAGAAAGCCCAAGAGGCCTGCAACACGCCAAAGATGGGCTCCAAGACGCCAAAGATGGCCTCCAAAACGGCCCCGAAGCGCCCCAAGAGGGTCTCCCGTTGGCCCAGAAAGGCCCCAAAGACGGCTCCCGACGGCGTCAGACGTGCCAGGAACCCACCAAGATGGCCGAAGTTGGCTCGAAGCTGGCCCAAAAGGGCCCAAGAGGCCCCCCAAGAGGGCCTCCAGGAAGGCCAGAAGAGGCCAAATACACTGATTTTCCTTAGGTCTTCGACGGATTTTGACGTTTCCTTCTTTTCGGCCTTCCGACGGCCCGAGACGGTCCAAGAGCCCCCAAAGATCGCCCAAGAGGCCTCCAAGACGGCCAAGATGTCCTTCAAGACGCCCGCGTGTTCCCCAAAGGCTTTTCAAGCCCATTCGGGGAACACATGGTCCGATGGGTTGGCAGGTCTGCTTTGCAGGTCCGATGTTTCAACGTTCGGCCACATAGGCGCTTCCACAATTCCCTGCTTTTCTGCCCAAGACGGCTCCAAGATGGCCTCCAAGATGCCTCCAAGACGGCCAAGATGGCCTCCAAGAGGGCCCAAAAGGCCCCCAAGAGGGCCCCCGGCCCAAGTGGCCTCCAAGACGGCCCCAAGAGGGCCCAAGAGACCTCCAAGACGTCCTCCAAGAAGGCCCGAAAAGGCCAAGACGTCCTCCAAGAATACCTTCAAGATGCCCACGTGTTCCCCGAAGGCTTTCCAAACCGACTCGGGGAACACATGGTCCGATAGCTTGGCAGGTCTGGCCTCAACGTTCGGCCACATGGGCGCTTCCACAAGGGCAGGGGGCGGCGGTGATTCGCCGTAGGCGTCTTCGATCCGCCGCCCCCTGTCGATTCATCGCAGGGGTGCCTGGCGTGCTGAACCACCCGGTTTTGGTTTTGGTTCTTTTTCCAAAAAGAACTCCCCCTGGGGCTCCGGCACGTCCCGCCGGCCACCCGGAAACTGCATCAACCAATGCCTGAAACGGCCGCCTCGCTCGG